CCTGCGGGCAGTGAGGCCACACCTGGGGGGAGGGATCCTGTGCTGGGCATCCCTGACTCTAAGAAAGGCCCCCATGCTACCCCGGAACCCTTCTCAATGCCTCTTCCAGGCACCCTGGCACCTCTTCCAGGAAGCCAGCATTCACGTGCTGAGCTCCTCTCACTCCTGCTCTGGGCCGGGGCCTGTGGATAAAAGCGTTTCCCAGGCAGAGCCACCAAGGTAGCACTGGGAGAGTGACGGTCACGTGGCACTGAGGCAGGAAACCCGGGACAGGTGGAGGGGCGTCCAGGGGTGAGTGGCTATGTGGGCCGGGAAAGGGGTGACTGGGCCATTGCACGAGCCTGGGGACAACGTACAAGCCACACTCCTTTCCCCTGGCTCCCGGCTCTGCAGTCCTCACCCCGGCCTCTCAGGACGAAGCAGACCCTACATGCACCATCTTGCCTGCCTGGCACCTCCTTCACCTCTACCTCCTGTGAGTCTGGTGGGGGTCAGGGCACGTTGTGCCCCCTTGGGCCGCCTGATAGCCGGGGAGCCTGAGGCCGTTCCTCCCAGCGGAACTTGGCCCCCAGGACAGCTGCGCAGCTGCTTCTTGCATCTTTCCTCACATGCCATAGGCCCTGGGGGTGAAAGCAGCGCAGAGGTGGCCAGATGTTTGGGGCAGATCTGGGCACCGCCCTTCTCCTGTCTGTTTGTCTGAAACCAAACTCCTCACTGCCTCCCCTTCCTGTGTCGGTGCCCTAGAGCCCACCTATGTCAACCACTGGCACTGGCTGGTGCTGGCTAGGCCAGAGCTCCGTGACTCTGGGGTCTGCTATTTGGTGCCTTCAGGAGGATAAATGAGAGCTGTCACAGCTGCTGAGCCTGTGGAGCCACGGCCCTCGGGCCAGCTCTGCTCATCACAGAGGGCCCTGCCCTTGGCTTGGCCTCTGCTCACGGACTCTGTGGCCTCTGCCAAGGGCTTGGGGTTTCACACGTGTGAAGCAGGGATGGCTCTGGGTACTGCCTGGAGCACTGTAAAACTCTGGGCCAACGGTAGAGGGATAGAGAGGCACTGGTGAGGAGGGAGAGCTCGGCTGAGCAGCTGAGGAAGGGTTGAGGGGACCACCCAAAGGGTCAGGGGAGCCCACTTCAACCCACCTAGCAATGTATTCAGGGCTGGCTTTGGAGCCTCTACTGTGGGCTGGGAGACCTGTGGGACTGGGCTGAGCAAGTGAAGAGGGTCCAGGGGCGCTACCTTAAGAGAGGGTCCTGCTGGCCCAAGACGAGCCAGCTGTCTTAGCTGAATAATGGCTCTGCAATCCCCAGAACCTACATAGCACAGAGGACATGGTAGATATAATTCAGTGGAGGGCCTCGGGCTAAAGATCACTTTGGATTAACTGTATGGACCCAAGAGATGGATGGCCCTAAGAGAAGAGGGAGAGGCAGGAGAGAAGGGAGGAGGGAGAGGACACAGGGGGGTGGTCTGAAGAGGAGCCAAGTGGCAAAGTGGCCTCTAGAAGATGTAAAGAGCAGGCACGAGGCCAATGCTGCCCCAGGCACGAGCCTCAGCCCCTGGCTGATGGAGGTGGTGGGATGGCAGCCACAGGGAGCCGATTTACACCCAGCCCAGGGCCTCTGTGGGACAGGTTTGGGGCACCAGGAGGCCAGGCCTGGCTCTGCATGTCATCGGTCCTGCTGGAGGGGGTCTCTGGCCTGTGGGGACAGTTCTGCACCCTTAGCTGGGCACTGCCATCTCCCAGGGGAAGTTTCAGAGAACAGCACATATCCCTTTCATCTTAGCTGTCAGGATTCTGGTTCTCATGTGAATCTCTGTTATTTGTTCATGCTCACCTGTGTGCCGGGACAGGGTGGCTATTGAGAGTAGTGGTGGCTGGCGCTTCTGAGGACCAAAGTGGACAGGGCCACCTGACCCCCAGACCCTGTTGTAGACAGGTTCTCTTCTCTACATGGAAGCAGAGGCTTGAAGGCAGGCCGTCTGCATGTGGGGTCCTGAGCTTCCGTCTTGGCTCTTGGCCAGGGCAAGAGATGAGATAGCTAATGAATGATTTATAGGATAGCTGCGGGATATGACCTCTGTAGTCTGGGCACAATCTCCAGAAGGGTTCGGAGGCAAACAGCTGGGAGAACGCCGGCTCTCACTGTGGGGGTAAGGGGTGTGTGTGTGTGGGGGATTGCCTGCGAAGCCTGGCTCTGCCTCTGGCCCTCTTGGCAGGCAAAGTGGGCCTGAGGGCCTGGGCACTCAGAAAAGAGGCTGCACCTGAGCCTGCAGGAGATGCCGGCTCCTGACCTGTGGTCACCACAGAAAGTACCCCACCCACTTCCCAGTGGGTGCCACAGAGGCCCCGCCCACCCACTTCCCAGTGGGTGCCACAGAGGCCCCGCCCACCCACTTCCCAGCAGGTACCACAGAGGCCCCGCCCACCTACTTCCCAGTGGGTGCCACAGAGGCCCCGCCCACCTACTTCCCAGTGGGTGCTACAGAGGCCCCGTCCACCCGCTTCCCAGCAGGTACCACAGAGGCCCCGCCCACCTACTTCCCAGTGGGTTCCACAGAGGCCCCG